TTCCTCTCTTCATGCCTTTTACGCCTATGTTGCCACCCACTTTCACCGCACCATTGCTCACCTCCAAACCGACAACGGAAAGGAATTTGATAACCTCGCCATTCGCACTCTTTTATCCTCTCATGGCACCATTTTTCGTCTCACATGTCCATACACATCTCAGCAAAATGGTCGTGCCGAACGTGTTCTCCGCACTCTTAACGAGAGTGTTCGCGCCTTGCTCTTCCACGCACACATGCCGGCGAGGTTTTGGCCCGATGCCCTCGCTACAGCTACCCTTCTCCTTAACATCCGGCCTTGCAAACCTCGGTGGAACTACACCCCTCATCACCTCTTATTTGGGTCACCTCCGTCATACGATGATCTTCATGTTTTCGGTTGCCTTTGTTATCCCAATATCACCGCCACGACACCGCACAAGCTTGCGCCTCGCTCTATCGCTTGTGTTTTTCTTGGCTACCAACCAAACACCAAAGGTTTCTGTTGCTACGACCCGGAGTCCCATCGTGTGATCGTGTCTCGGCACGTGTATTTTGATGAGGTTGTTTTTCCGTTTCAGCAGGCTGCATCGCGTCCCTCGCCACCTCTGGACGCCTCTCCTCGCAGGCCTCGTGGAGCCCTTGCGCTCCCACGGCCTCGCCGTTCGGGCGCAGCTGCACCTTCGTCGCGTGCTGCCTCGCCGCCCTCGGCGTTCCCTCTGCCGACTCGGGAGGAGTCGGCCTCCCCGGCCACGCCGGGCCCCCGTCTCTTGGCTCTGGAGGAGCCCGTCCCCCCGGCCTCATTGGGTCGTCGTCCCCCGACTCTGATGGAGTCGGGCGCCACCCCAGCCGGACCATCAGGGGCCTCGTCGGCTCAGGCGGAGCCGGGCTCTTCGGGCTCCTCTACGCCCACATCGCCGACCGAGCGTGCGCACTCCGGCTCCCTGTCAGCTCTGGAGGAGCCGACCCTCTCGGCCCCGTCGGCCGGGCCCTTGACACCCGTCACAGCGCCGGCTTCTTCTTCGTCATCTGAGCCGGTCGCTGTGGTGCCTCGGCGTCGCGGTCCACGCCCACCTCTTCCGCCACCTCACCATCATATGGTGACACGCGCCAAGGCCGGTGTGCACCAGCCGAACCCGCGCTACCACAACCTCAGCGTCACGACCCTCTCTCCGGTTCCGCGATCGGTGCGTTCTGCGTTGAGTGATCCGCATTGGACCGCCGCTATGCGAGCTGAGTACGATGCTCTCGTCGCCAACCGGACCTGGACCCTTGTTCCTCGTCCTCCTGGAGCCAACATCATCTCGGGCAAGTGGGTTTTTCGTCACAAACTCCATCCGGATGGCTCACTGGATCGGTACAAGGCTCGCTGGGTTGTCCGAGGATTTGCACAACGTGCTGGCATTGACTTCTCTGAGACTTTTTCTCCGGTCGTCAAACCCGCCACGATTCGTGTGGTGCTTCAGCTGGCTGCTTCTCGTCACTGGCCCGTCCATCAGCTCGACATCAACAATGCTTTTCTGTATGGCCATCTTCAGGAGCGAGTCCTCTGTCAGCAGCCGACTGGGTTTGTTGACCCTCAGCGGCCGGATGATGTTTGTCTGTTGTCCCGGTCCTTATATGGCCTCAAACAGGCTTCGCGCGCTTGGTACCAGCGCATCGCCGGATTCCTTGGTCTTCTTGGGTTTCGCAGCACTACATCTGACACGTCCCTGTTCGTGCTGCATCGAGCTGATCATGTGGCTATGCTTCTACTCTATGTTGATGATATTGTCATCACTGCCTCCCGCACGGATCTTCTTCGCGACATCATTGGTCGCCTCGGTTCTGAGTTTCGACTGAAGGATCTCGGCGCATTGCACTTCTTCCTCGGCATTAATGTGCGACGTGATGACACTTGGTTCTTTCTGCATCAGGGACAGTATGCTCTTGATCTTCTGGACCGTGCCGGCATGACTGACTGCAAACCAGCCGCCACACCTGCTGAGGCTAAGCCGAAGCTCGCAGCCTCCGCCCGCCAGCCTGCCACCGACGCTGCTCTTTATCGCAGTATTGTGGGCGCCCTTCAGTACCTCACGCTCACCAGACCATACATTCAGTTCGCAGTCCAGCAAGTTTGCCTGCATATGCACTCGCCTCGTGATGTCCACTGGTCTTTGGTCAAGCGCATTCTTCGGTATATTCGTGGCACTCCGACCTACGGTCTTCGTCTCCGTGCATCCGCCTCGACTGAGCTCCTCGCTTATACTGACGCGGATTGGGCTGGCTGTCCAGACACTCGTCGCTCCACGTCTGGATATTGTGTCTTCTTCGGTGACTCCTTGGTCTCTTGGTCCTCTAAACGGCAGCCCACTGTTTCCCGTTCGAGTGCTGAGGCTGAGTACCGTGCTGTCGCCAATGTTGTTGTAGAGACTTGTTGGCTTCGTCATCTTCTTGGTGAGCTTCGGATTTCTCTTCCGAAGGCTACTGTGGTCTTCTGTGATAACGTATCGGCCACCTATCTCGCGGCTAATCCGGTGCAGCACAAGCGCACTAAACACATCGAGCTCGATGTTCACTTTGTCCGTGAGAAGGTTCAGTTGGGTCAGCTCCGTGTACTTCATGTACCGACCACCCAACAGTTTGCCGATATCATGACCAAGGGATTGCCTACCGCTGCATTCTAGGAGTTCCGTTCCAGTCTTTGCATCGCCGACGCCGACGACGACGCCGACGCTTCGACTGCGGGGGGGTGTTGAAACGTGATATCCTTGTATTTATTTCCGACTGATTCTCCTCTTATCTCTAGCCTTGTATAGATTGATCTCTAGAGATATTGTAGAGTTAGTTGGCTTGTCACGCAAGACACCTCTTGTATATAATGTAACCGACTCCGATGGAATACAATTGAGTTGCATCCTATAGTCTTCTACATTGCCATCTAAATTGGTTGTACTTGGCTTAAGTCCGTAAAACTCTATGTCACTGTCATTTGTTGGATGACTTAGTTAGTTTGGCTTTATTTATCCGCGTATTTTATAACAGATCCATTATGTACTGCTTTAGGAAAGCCAGTGAGGTAGCGGTCGGCTATGCTGAAATGTTTGGTTCTGCGCAAGGCTAGTTCCCTATTAAATATTTGAGAATTTCGGTTCATTATCGGTGTCTCACAAACACGGAGTGGAAACATGTAGAGGAACACTTAGAGAAACGGTTGAGCAGTTGGCAAGGCAAGTTACTCTCCATTGGAGGATGACATGTCTTGATAAATTTTGTCCTCACAAATATGGTTCTCTATATGCTTTCCTTTGTCCAACTCCCTAAAGGAGTCTTTCAAAGGTCGGATTATTTCGTAGCCAGATTCTTTTGGTCCTTCACAATCGACTCTATGTACCAGGCATTCATGCAGTCAGAGCTCCCATTAGATAATAACATGAAGATATGAAAGCCCAATATTTCACTAAAAGTTAAAATTTTCATGTGGTGTCGTCGAAGGGGAGTTATGCTAACGAAAGACAACCTCGCCTGTCGCAACTGGCAAGGAAGCAAAACGTGTAGTTTTTGTACTCACGGCGAGACAATCAAACACCTCTTTTTCGAGTGCAAGTTTGCGTGTTTTACATGACCAATCATCCAAATAACGTCCAATTTGTATCCGCCCACAAGTATTGCCAACATTTTTGGTCATTGGCTGGACGTTATTTCAAATAGGTTCAGCACGCTAATAAGGATGGGATCGTGTGCCTTGTTACGGTCGTTGTGGCGATGTAGAGATAATCTGATTTTTAATGGCAAAAACTCTGCTCCTTTGCAGATAATTTTTCGCTGTACACACTGCCTTCGTACGTGATGTATACTACATCGAACGGAGTACCAACCATTATTTAAGGTGGTGTGTATGCGGCTGAAACAGGTGTTCAGGAAGGTTTTCACCCAACATGGATGGCGGCATAATTTCCGGATCGGTCCATCGCCTCCTTAGACATACGCGTAGTGTTGGTCTTATACGACTTTATTGGTGCCAATATATTGGTTTTTTCTTTCTTGTGTCAGACCGTTCGTGATTAGTTGTGTGCATTTTAGTCATGCAGAGGCCGGACATTACCCATTACCCATTGATGCTACATTTTAAATTAATAAAAGCGTTTTTTATAAAAAAAAATCCATTATGTACGCAACACCGTTCGACACCACCATTAGCATACGCATGAAGCGCTCCCCATGCGAAAGAAGCACACGTCACAGATTGTAATTGGCTCTCACATCTTGGCAGGGCTCTGATGTTGGCAAATCGGGCTTATGACATTCTTTACAGTGTGCCTTCTCGTTTGCCTATTGCAGTACTATTTTCAGTAAAACGGAAGGAGCTATCGAATTCGAACGGGACGTGTGGTCCAGGTGATAGGCTGGAAAAAATGGGTGTGAATCAGTAGATGCTTGTGCTTTACTGCAGGGAAACATGGATGGAAGCTTCAACGCCAAGGAAGGGACAAATCCCTGGCCCTGGCCCTGGCCCTGGGGGACAAAAGAAACGATACTCTCTACTACCTACAGTTTCCGGAGAAATACTCTAGTGCTCCATTCCGTGGATGGTCTGGCGCAATCAGTGGGTTGTTTCCCCATGGAGGTAGGCGCGGTATCTGCGTCTTTGCTTCAAATGTTGCTTGCCGTTGAAGCGTGATTCATGTACTACTAGTACTACTGTCCAGCAAGTGAAGAACCGTTTGGGAGAGACACAACGAGCGATTGGCTGGGCAATAAACAATTGATGCATGCATGCATGCATGCATGTAGTATGCGCTGGAGTAGTGCTGAGTTGGCTACACTACATTGTTTTTGAAACGAAGCTACACTACATTGTTGAGGTCAGGAGACCCATCTTTTACAACAAGTAGTGAACCCACCCTCCCTTTGGTTGGAAAATAAACTGTAGAAGAGGAGCAAAGACTAGTGGAACAACTTCCAGGAAGAAAGAAAGAAAGAAAGAAAAAAAGAAAGAAAAATGAATTTGTTGTGGCTACGACTATCCAAGCAAGCAGCTAGCTAGGTGCACCTGACGTTCCTCCCTGGCCCTCCGTAGTAGAAGTAGTTCCCCCAGACGGCGTTGACGCCGCCCTGGATGTCGTAGCAGTTGGGGTGGTCGGCGGTGACGTGGAAGGTGGTGAGCGGGATGAGGCTGTTGTCCCAGTCCACCACCTCCAGGTTGCGGAAGTAGGAGGAGCGGCCGAAGCCCTCCCCGGGGAAGTGCCCGCTCCCCATCTGCGTGGCCGTGTGCGACCCCTCGGCGCGCGTGTCCACCACCTCGCCACCGAACTGCACCATGCTCGCGTGCGACGCCAGGTGGCTGAACAAGAAGCTAGGCCAGTAACCCACCAGCTCCCCCGACCCGAACTCCAGCCACCAGTTGCCGTGGTTGGGGTCTTTCCAGATCAGGAGGCTGATGTCGAACTGGCCGCCTTTGTAGCCCGAGGTGGGCGAAATGGCCGCCCCCATGGCGATCCGGCTGTTGGTCTGCACGAACCCTGAGCACAGCAAGTTGTAGCACCCCGTCGTCTGGTACGCGTCCGTCTGCATGCCATGCCATGCAAATTCAAACCCTTTTCTTTTCTTTTATTTCACCAGACGATCGATCCATCCATGGATCGAGGAGAAAGGGCTTACCGTCCAGTAAGTGAAGAACCTGGGCGAGTTGTCCCCATACAGCTGCGGGCTCACCTGTCACACAAAACAGCAAGCAGCTGTTAATTATATGTTGTTGTTGTTGTCCCTGCCACCCGAGACAGAGAGCAGAGACCAGAGAGGAATGGATGATGCTCAAATCGCAAACGTACCTGCCATCCGGCCTCGATGGTGTTGAGATCGTTGCCGAAGGTGCCGCCGATAACCCAGATCTGCGACAGGCTGAACTCCGTCGGCGTGCTCACCTTGGGCGCCCACACGTTGATGCTCGCACGCCCGCCGTAGTACTCGTCGCCGGCAACGTACCCCACCGCGTGCTGCATACACACACACACACACACACCATTTCAACAACCATCCATCCATCCGCTGATGAGTTACTAGTGTTACTGTCTTGTTAATGTTACCCCTGCTGCTCTACTGCAGTTAACTACTACTCCCTCCGTCTTAGGACGTTTCCTGACACTACATTAATGTCAAAAGAAAGGAAAAGAAAAAACATACTCAGATCAATTAATATGCACCTAGCGAGAGCCAAAATGCAGACGAAGAAGCGACACTCGGGTCAATGCTCTCTGCGGATGTTAGCTCGGAGGAGTAAAAGCAACAGCAAACAAATCAAATCCAGTCAAATCCATGAGGTTAAAAGCTGTGCGCTGAATCTATGTCCTCGCAGTGCATGGCATCATGCGACCGCTCTGCTCGATATCACGTTTTTACCCAACTTTTTCGGATACTCTGCTTTTTAAGCATCATTTAGCGCAGGGGCAATTTTTTTTTTGAAACGGACAATTTCATTCAGCAACAAAGACAAGATTTATCCTACATACTACAGGCTACAGTAACTTGAATTCAGGTTGTGCTTACAATGTACTCCCGCCGTAAAGAAATATAAGAGCATTACTTTCTTTACAGAGGGAGTACTAGTACTGTAATGGTATGCTATGACGAGAGTAGACTACGGACCTCGTGGCCGCCGGCGACCGTGTCACGCCGTAATCTGGCCGTGGGCACCCTTCCGAACCTCCTCACGGAGCTGGCGCGGAGGACGTCGGCCTCCGTAATCCTCCTCACCGGGACGGACCCCTCCGGACACGAGACGCCGGACACCGCCCAAAGCTGCACTCCGGCGTCCGCCGTGTCATTGGGGCGGCGGTGGTGTCCACTCGGTCGCACCGGCGGGCCCTACGACAAGACGACCAATCGAACAAGAGCCCAAGACTTGGTTAACTAATCAATCTGCATGCTGGCTTTCCCTTGGCTTTGAAATGGAAATAAATAAATAAAATTAACCATAGCTGCTAACGAGATGGATGCATTACCAGTGGTCTCTGGCCGCGCAGCCTGGGGTGGTCGAACGCCGGCTGCAGGTGCGCCGGCACGCAGTCGATGAGGTCGCCGTCGGGGCTCTGCCATGAACCAACGAGCACCACGGTTAATCTCTCTCGGCCACGACCGAGACCGAATTGCAGCAACACTGGCAGTAGGGCGACCGAGGAGACATGCCTGAATGGTCCGGAGAGACGGCTTGTTGAGCCTTGTGAGGAGCGCCTGGACCCGCCTGTACCTCCTTAGCTCCTCCCCCGGCCGGAACGTCACGTTAGCCGCCGCCGCACAGTTGCCAAGAAGCGCGACATGAAGCAGCAGCAGCAGCAGGACAAGGGCAGCAGCAGTGGGATGTGATGGAGATGGAGATGGAGATGGAGATGGAGAGTAGGGTGCAGCCATCAGTGTGGGATTCTGTGCCTGTGAAGCTTCCTGCACGGCGGCGTCTTGTCGCTGCTGCTGATGCTCCTGTGCGAGGAATACATTGGCTGGCTGCTCGGTGCCTGCCGCTTGTTGTTTGGGTGTTGGGACTAGTACTCGCCACAGAACCTGTCCACTCCAGCCAGTACTGGCAGTGGCAGCTCAGCTCAGAGCTAGCGAGCGCGGCCTCGTTCGCACGCAATCAATCCCTTTTCCCAAAGAAGAAGAAGAAGGAGGAGGAGGAGGAGGAGGAGGAGGAGGAGCACTCGTCCTCCCGCTAAGCAAAGATCTCTCCCTCCAAGGCCCCGCGAGATGGAGCTATATATCCATCATCATTCTTATTCATAGGTGCTTATGGTTATGAAGGAGGGGCGGGCCGACAAAGCATGGGGCTTTGCAGCATGAGGCAATTGAGTTGAGAGGGGGAATAATAATAATAATACTCCTACTCCTACTCCTACTGTAGTTTACTTTGGGGTGGGGCCGGGCCGGGGTGTGCTTTTGGTAAAGGGAAGGGGAGGCGCCCTGCCCCAAGTGGACTGGAGTGTCGTGCTGCTGTTGCCTTTGGGCTCTCTGCAATGAGTAGCAGCAGCAGGTCTCGAACCAGGTGCGTAAATTTGCAAGGAAAGGAATGCCATGGCATTGCATGCACTCAACGTATGCACCGCAAAGAAACAACTCATGTCATGTGTTTGGCTTTTAGGTAAAGCAAGCACTACGTGTAGAGAATACCGGATGAGTACGTATGCTAAGGGCAGCAACTACAATGCAGATTATCAAATGCCTGGCCCATTTCAAACGGATCGAGCACAAAAAACGAACGATATTCATCCAAAATGGACTAAATTTATTGGCTTAATTTTGATATATTGCATTCAACACGCGAAATTTAAAACTACCAACTAACCAAATAAAATCTAAAGTAAACCAGGCGAGGTGATCTGGTAGGCATTGCCTCTGAGGTCACTCACACATTCATCGTCATCATCGCCACCGTCGTTGTCGTCGTCTTTCAATGACAGAAGGCCCGTTACACGTCTCAGCATCCCTGACTGGACTCCGCCTAACCCTGTCTGTCGTTGCCTTGAAGCCATGTCAAACGCTCGGACTTGGCCAACCCCAATCTGAGGACCTGGTCGGTGAGCCGGCGGTGGTGACGACGGGTGGTGGTCTTCCGGTGGTCCTGGACCAATCCAGGGCTCATGCCTCCATGGAGCGGGGTCCACGGCACCCAGGGCGGTCGTCCATCATCGTTAACGATGCCCGACACGTCACATTGCGCCTCTCTCAGAGCTCAGCCTCGAAGAGTGTCGACGGGTGATCGTCGATATCAGAGCTACAATCCCCGTGCTAGGCCTAACCGGATGGAGCGAGCTTGGGCAGCTATAGTAATGTAGGGTGGAACCCTAATTTGATTATCTTTGCACACTTGGAGGGGAAAAGGGGGAGAACAACAAGAACAACAAGAGTAATCACTCAAACAAACCTAAATCACACATCCACTAGAATAGCATATGTGAGATCCACAAGCATAACATGAACAATCAAAGGAAAATAACACAAAGGTAAGGTTCTTCTCAAATTCAAAGGAGATGAGGTCTTGATGATAGTCTTCTCCAAGAGGAGGTCTTGATATCCACTTGGGTATCTTCTCCTAAGAAATCTTGATCTGCAAGAGGAGGGGTATATGAGCAAAGCTCTCTCTAGATAATCTCATATACTTTGCTAACCTTAGCTAGGAGGACGGGGGGGGTCTATATATAGTGTGGCACGAGATAAGAGAGGAGAAGAGGGAATACAAGGGCCTTTGGCCGGTTATCACTGGTACAACGGGGTGCTATATAAACGGTTTTTAATCCCTTTCTGCGATGGCGTTCTGAACCGTCACCTAGTGAGTGACTGCGGTAGGGGGGCCCTTCCCACACGACCCGGAAACCATCGGGGATATGCCTTCCTGGCACACACGCTCGGCAAAATGAGGTCGTGTGCGTCCAATGAGCGATCAAATACGGTTATACGTACAATAGTGCTAAAAAATATACAATTATAAAGGCAAAATCGTTTCCGATACATCCCACACAGTCAGTCCCCTCTAAACGTTTTTGTTCATATATACATCTCACATAGTCGCTCCAAGGAAAACGTTTCCGTTCGCGGGTGCATCACACACAATTTTCCCCGTTAAGTCGTTTGTGATAGCATTGCCATTGCACAAGATATTAACAATTTTATCGTTTGCGTTATTGAATGCATCGCACATGGTGCATAGAAGAAAATGCGTGGCAAAGGCTGTCCATCACACACAGTTTTTATGTGGTAAACGTTTGCGCAAGGTGGCCTAACACAAACAGTTTTCAAGAGAATGTCATGTGTGATTGTTCATTGATTCAACATGGTTTATTCCTAGAAACTGTGTCCGTTGCCTGAGGTCATCGCCCACGGTATTTTCTCAATTACCGTTTGGAATAGCAAAACCCAATTAGCGGACTATTTGCCCTAGTATTAATAATCCATTTATTAATCTAATTGACATTCATATTAAGCACATAATATATTTCATTTCCATATTAAGGAAGCAGGATTTCATAATTGAAATACATCAGAGTACAACATGATATAGCTTCAACCAAGCTACCCCATTACACAACTGCACCAGCACCAACTTTCACATGCAACATCTAGAATCTTTCGAAATTAGCATCATAGACGACACATAGACAGATGCATCTCATCTGGAAAACTGCTGAAGCGGAAGGCAAATATTGAGCCTTTATTCATGTTGAAGGTCTTTGCAACTTCAGGGCCAGTGCGTGTGGATGATTGACCGTCCATCCTTCGTCCTCTTTAGGAACACTTCAATATTGAACTGTGGGTGTTGTATGAAAACCTTTCTCACCTCCTGACCATAGAGGTGGTTTGAGAGGTAATCATCAGTGAACTGCTTTGGAAAGGCCCGAAAATAAGGATGTGCATAAATATCTTCTCTATATTGGAAATGGAGCAAAGGAATAAAAAAAGGCAAGGTATAATAGTTAGTACCATCTTGTAGTGAATTGATGTCTTCTTCATTGTGCATACAAAAATCTTGTTGTTTTTTGTCGCTAATTTCTTTATCCTAACAATCTTTCTGAGTTTCTTGACTTGATTGATACAACTCATTTCCCCACATGCAAAAAAGGCTGAACAGTGGGTCAAAACCTCTGGCAGCAAGACCTACATGTGCAAGACCAAATTGTTAAAAACCTACATATTAGAATGGTTCCTGCAGTTGGACAATAATGTGCTATTAGACAACGGACCATGCACGTGCTAACCTCGATTGTAAACCTCAGTGCTTCCCATTGTTTCCCTGCAACACATATAAGGTAGTTAGTCAGCAAGTTAAGTAAGGGTTCGCATGCTATCAGTAAAATATGTTGATGAAAATTATCACATTGCAGATTCATCAGATTAATTTAAGCCACATGGAAAAACCCATTTATTCAAACCAAGCATGATTCAGAACTAGGAAATATAGTACTAGTATATGTTTCTCATGTATTAAGTCCAGTCAAATTTGATTTATTCCTCACATGCACAACAATACAAAACTACCCACGAGAATTGGACATCGCATTGCCGAATTGAACCAACCAGTTAACTAAACACCACAACAAATGAAGCAAACATTAATTGAGCACCACATTGCACAATATAACATACTCCTAATAGAAGATCAGATAGTTAACCAAACCAAGCATGTTTAACAACTTGGAAATATAGCAATCGTATTTGTTTCTCATGTATTTAATACAGCCAAATTCAATTTATTCCTCACATGGTATAAAATAACAGAATGCACCCACAGAAATTGAACATCGCATTGCAGAAGTGAACCAAACAGTTAACTAAACACTACATCAAATGAACCAAACGTTAACTGAGCACCATATTGCACAATGGTATCTGCTGTAAGTATCTCAAATAACTGTATCGGGTGGAAGACGGGTTCTCAAAAAGGATGGAGGGCTCTCACGACGGCGACGGCATCCCGACCCCGCCCGCGGTGCTGGTTCCCCCCGCTGCCCCCGCCGGCCCTCTCACCTCCCTGGCCTCCATGCCCCCCTCCCCGCTGCCGGTGCCGGCTGCGTCTGCCGCCCCGCCGCCTCCCTCGCCCGCCCCCGAGCCTGCTGAAGGAAATATGCCCTAGAGGCAATAATAAAGTTATTATTTATTTCCTTATAATCATGATAAATGTTTATTATTCATGCTAGAATTGTATTTACCGGAAACATAATACATGTGTGAATACATAAACAAACAAAGTGTCACTAGTATGCCTCTACTTGACTAGCTCGTTAATCAAAGATGGTTATGTTTCCTAACCATGAACAATGAGTTGTTATTTGATTAACAAGGTTACATCATTAGTAGAATGATCTGATTGACATGACCCATTCCATTAGCTTAGCACCCGATCATTTAGTATGTTGCTATTGCTTTCTTCATGACTTATACATGTTCCTATGACTATGAGATTATGCAACTCCCGTTTACCGGAGGAACACTTTGGGTACTACCAAACGTCACAACGTAACTGGGTGATTATAAAGGAGTACTACAGGTGTCTCCAATGGTCGATGTTGGGTTGGCGTATTTTGAGATTAGGATTTGTCACTCCGATAGTCGGAGAGGTATCTCTGGGCCCTCTCGGTAATACACATCACATAAGCCTTGCAAGCATTACAACTAATATGTTAGTTGTGAGATGATGTATTACGGAACGAGTAAAGAGACTTGCCGGTAACGAGATTGAACTAGGTATTGGATACCGACGATCGAATCTCGGGCAAGTAACATACCGATGACAAAGGGAACAACGTATGTTGTTATGCGGTCTGACCGATAAAGATCTTCGTAGAATATGTAGGAGCCAATATGGGCATCCAGGTCCCGCTATTGGTTATTGACCGGAGACGTGTCTCGGTCATGTCTACATTGTT